CGGGGACACAGCCAAGCACCCCCCGACCCAGGGGCTCACGGTGCTGCGGGGAAGGAAAGGATTCCCCCCCTCACGCCGCAGAGCCGTGTGGTCTGTGTCCTCCCTTCCACAGCCAGGCAGGAGCCTTCACCTCCTGCAGGGCAGCAGCCCCCGTCCCTGGCGTCCCGGCTTCAGGAGAGCTCACCTTTCTTTACCTCATTTTACACCTTGTTCCCCACTTCTCCTTGTGCTGCCCCAACACCCCCTTTTCTCCCTCCGGGCTCCTCCAGAACAACCAACACCAATTCCTTTGGCCTGATCGGTCCCAGTGCTGCTACCCCCCCTCCCCTGTTCTGAGGCACTGCCAGCCCGAAGCGGTGCCGCTGGCAGAGCCTTGACTCCCCTGCTCGCTCGGTGTCCGTTCCCTGGAATATTTTTCACTTTTCTCCTGGTCCCCATCAGGGGTCGGGCCAGTTGCAGGGGTTGGTGGTCCCGCGGGATGGCTTGGTCCCTGTCACCCTGGGGTACGGTGGGATCCAGAGAGCAGCAATGCCAACAAGCAGGCCACGACCGAGGGGCTGGGGGGCAGGGAAGGGGTTTCAGGGCAGGGGAGGCAGGGACGGGCACGAGGGCTGCCTGGGACGAGGGGGTGGCAGACACCGCCCGGCACATCTCGGCTCGCTGCCGGGCTCCCCAGACCTCTCAGGCACCAGCTCCTGGAGTCAGGGGGTGTAGGAACCATAGAGCGGTTTGGGTGGGAAGGGACCTTACAGACCATCTGGTTCCAACCCCCCTGCCATGGGCAGGGACCCCTTCCCCCAGCCCAGGGTGCTCAGAGCTCCATCCAACCGGGCCTGACCCCCTGCCAGGGGGGGGGCAGCCACAGCTTCTCTGGGCAGCCTGGGCCAGGGCCTCAGCACCCTCAGAGTGAAGGGTTTCTTCCTTAGATCCAATCTGAATCTCCCCTCTTTCAGTCTGAAGCCACCACCCCTTGCCCTGTTGTTGTCCCCAAAGTGGGACCCTTTACCCGGAGAGCGACGCGCCAACAGACGCCCAGAGCAGAGGCGTTGTCTTTATGGCGTTTGGGCGCAGAGACGGGTGCGAGGTGACAATTCCACGAAGCCAGCACGCCGCGAGCGGAGTCACAAGCACTGTACACCCTCACGAAACCAAAGAAATTACTCATTGCGTGAGGACTGGGTCACAGAATCACAGAATGGT